AAAAGAAGCCAGTCAAAATCCCTGCCTAGTCACAAACTTTGGGCCTCCAATCTCAAAGAGACTCTGCCTCCAGTTCCACATTTTGAGGGGAAAGAGGTTAATATTAAATCAAGGTCAGAGGGGTTTTTGTGTGTGTGTTTTTTTTTATTATTATTGTTTTAACACCAGAGTTGATATATTATGAATTTACTTGATACTGTGTTTGGGACGGAATGGCACTATAGGGACTCTTATTACCTACCTAAAAGTGACTAGAAACTACAAATACCAAAGTGAATAGAATGGAACATGACCCTTCCACAAAAGATTGGAGACCCTTTTGGTCAATACCAAACAAGATTCAATGTGAAAATATTCCAGTCCAAATAAGAGTGATTGGGCTCTATTTTACCTCTTGGCCAAGGGTTCTTGACCCAAGGTCCATGGTGCCTTAAAAAAGACCAAGGAACATTTTATGTATGTAGGCACATGTGCATTTTTCTAGAGAAAGAATCCACAACTTTTTATCAGAGTCACAAAAAAAGATGAAAATTATTCCAAAATGAAGAACTTCTGGAGGCCCAGGGCAATCTTAGACCTTGGCTTTAGATCTGGTTTATATCTCCTTCAGATGCACGACTGGTCGGTACCCAGCCAATCTTATCTTAAAGTGAACCTAAGAGGTGGGACACAGACTGAATCATGCTCCAGAAAGTCCTTTGGATGAGATTCCAGGAAGTCTACAGTTTAGATCAGGAGAAGATAAAAACTAGCTTTGAAATTCAGGATATAGTTTTCTAGGTTATAGAAACAACATCTTCTAATAATTGGTGGCTCATTGAGGTCACCTCTATTCTGATTGTATTTTGACTCTTTTCAAGTAAATTGTGATATGCATGTTTTCTGAACCTGTGTTTTGGCATAAAATGCATGTAACTCAACTGGTTTGGTTTCCTGATGCTCAGTTTCTGGTTACTAACCTTCCGAGGCCTTAGCCTTTCTGTCGTGTCCACAATTAGATTAGGTGATGCCTGGTCTGCCTGTTCTAGCTGCATCCTGGAAGGAAAAGCTAGTCCAAAGCATCGGGTTTTAAGTAAGCCGATATCCCTTCCATCCCCACTCACCCAAATCATGGGTACCCTTCCCCCCATTTGATGCCACGGCAGCCTCGGGCAGCTAACAGTCACAGGAAGTGAGTCATTGGCATCCCAAGCTAGAATTTAAGAAACGCTTGCATAGAACATCATAGGATATCGTTAATTTGATACACAGCAAAGTAATTGGGCAAACATTAACTCTCTTTTAAGAATCAAGCACAAATAATAAAACTTAAATTGATCTACGAAAGATCAATTAGCTGCTAGAAATAATAGTTTACAGTCAGTTCTCAACTATCCATATTCATAAAAAGTGGCAGAGCTAATCGAACACGGCAGGTAATTTTCAAGTCATTAGTATTTGGCTTTAGAACCCTTTATTTATTTATTTGCATCCAAGTTACTTTCCTAATAATGTTTTGCTTACATTAACATTTAAATGAGGATGGAGCTCCATGCAAGCAGCTGCTGATTGCACAGGAAGACAGCCCACATCCATACCAGGTAAGAGTAGTAGAAATCAAACAAGAGAGGGGCGCCTGGGTGGCGCAGTCAGTTAAGCGTCCGACTTCATCCAGGTCACGATCTCACGGTCCGAGAGTTCGAGCCCTGCGTCAGGCTCTGGGCTGATGGCTTGGAGCCTGGAGCCTGTTTCCGATTCTGTGTCTCCCTCTCTCTCTGCCCCTCCCCCGTTCATGCTCTGTCTCTCTCTGTCCCAAAAATAAATAAACGTTGAAAAAAAAAAATCAAACGAGAGATTAACATTTTACTGTGGATTAAATTTTCCAAACTCAAATAATTGAGAATGAGCTCTAATCCTCTTGAACATGACCTCCTCAGAAACTGCTCTCTGACCTTCCAGTTAAATACCCCTGTGTGTAATTCTTTGTTAAATCTCTGTTTTCCACACTAGAGCCTGAACTCCAAGAAGGCAGAACAGAGTCTGCCTCGTTCTACATTGTACCCCCACACCTGGAAAGTTTGTTGGTACATAGTAGGTGCTCACCAAATGTTTGTTCATTGAATGCATAAAATCTGCATCACTCTTTTGATGAAAAATGAGAAAAACTTATCCAGCATTACACAGAATACGTAATCAGGTCCCTAAGAGAAAGCCTGATCTGGGGATGGACGCGCCATGAGCTGAGGGACCCCACTGGTCTGGTTCACTGCTGTGTACCAGCTTGGGGTTCAGTGCTTGATACAATGCACGTATGCAGCGAAGAGAACCAGGCCAGTGGCCCTGCCACCTCCACTCACCCAAACCATAGATGTGTTCCCTCCACTTGAGAGGTTATCTCAATTGTGTCCCTAGCCGTGGCGTCATTGGCCAGCTAACAGTCACAGAAGCCGTTTGGGACAATGGATGAGAATAACCAAGAAAAAGCTGCAAGGCTCTGACTGCACATCTTTCCCACCAAGTTGCAGAGAGACAAAAGGGAAACGTGACAGAATTTTAAAGAGGGCTGGTAAGTCTAAGAGATAGTAGATTCGCGCATCTGGGAACAAACAGAACCTAGTGTTACGAATGTTTGTTTCTGTGGTATAGGCATTAGGGTCTATCTGCTTCTCTCTCTCTCTCTCTCTCTCTCTCTCTCTCTCTCTCTTGCCCTCCCTCCTTTTCTCCCCTCCTCCCATCCCCTCCTCCTCCCCCTCTCCTACTCCCTCTCCCATTCCTTATCTCTGTCTCTGTCTAAAGTTGGCCTAATCTCTATTCATCTACACTTGAGCTATCTTCCTTGGGCATATCAGGACTTCTGAATCTGTGCAGCCAACCCATCAAAGTATTCTTTTAAAAAAAAAAAAAAACGTTTTGTTACTGTGCCACCCTAATGTTTCCCTCATGTGGAGTTTTCAGAATGGTAACCTTGACATCAGAATAAAAGCAATCAATCCGTGGTATGCATACTTCTGCTCTGGAATCCAGTGGGGGACCTGAGAACAAGTCAATACAGGCCTTACTAGTAAAATGAACGGACAGGAAATTTCCATTCATGAAAACAATCTTGGAGACCACCCAGTGTAGTGTCCTCACTTTACGAACAAAGGAAATGGAAGCCCAGACGGGCAAAACCACCATAACTTTGCAGAACTCATGTGAGAGCCCAAGAGTCATCTGGCTGACGAGACATTTTCTATTTGTGGCTACGCTCTGACTCGACAGATAGCTTCTTCCCCTCCTCAGGTAGACAGACACCTCCTCTAGCAACCATCCTATGTACCCCAACTTTCAGAACCAAACTCCTAGAAGTAGAATTTGGTACCTACTAAATTTATTTTCTCCCCTCAATCTATGGCCCTATTCAAGAATAGCTATTCAGAACCTCCTCCTCCTCCTCTCCCAGCTCTTATCCAGCTGCCAAGAGATTTGCTTCAGATTCCAGAATATAAGTTACCACGCCCCTCCTTCCAGATACATGGATCCACTTTTCCCCTTGGAGGATTTGTCAAAAGCCGAAGTAATAATCCTAACAATCTTTCAATTAAGTAAGATAATATTTATTACTTTTAACCTAAAGGACCCTTGTTCAACAGGAAGACAATTTCACATCTGTGCAGATGGGACCCAGCTGACAGTGGACTCAGCAGATTGTGTGAGACTTGATAAAATCACCTTCTTCTTCCTGACGTTTGAACAGCCTCCTTCTCCTGCCATATGTAGCCAAGAAAATAAGCCAGAGCCTGGTGCCCTAGTGATGAGCTGGCATGTGGCTCCTGGGTTTGTCCCCCAAATAAGCAACGTGTTTATTCAAAGGAGTTTATTTATTCTGCCTGCAGAATAGGCAAGGTGTCAGCCAAAATGAATCCTGGCCAATTATTCATGCCATTCAAATTATGTGACATCCTTGCTCTATCCATTGCCTTAAAGTTGGAAAGGAGAGGACAGGCCAGCTCTTGACTAGAAAAGTCCAAGCTTTGCTGTTGATATTTTCACAGTCACCAGCATCCTAGGTGGGCAAGGGAGACAAAGAAATGTCTCAGCCTGGACTCTGAAAACAGAACCGGACAGGGGTGCCTAATTTGAAAGGTGAAGTCCTGAAGCAGTGAGAGTTAATGAAAAGAGAAGTGTGACAAGGAAGGTTACAGAGCCACAGCGTGTCACTGTACTGGCCACTGCTTTACCATAAGCCTCAAAGACACACAGCTGGTCGCTCAGCAGGTGCAGCTACTCAGCCACCTGGGATGTCTCCAGACAGGCTGTGCATCGAAGCTGCTCAAAGCAGTCCCTTCAAAGAGGAAGGAGGGGAAATTTATCTGCATGGCTACTTCCCCTCTCCAGTCTCCCAGATTCGTTACAAAGGGAGTTCTTTTCCCCAAATCCCAAGTCATGTCACCTAGCTCCCTCAGTAGCTGCTGAAGAAGCCCGTCCCAGTACCACAGTGTCCTGCTGCATCCAAGCCTGGAAGTGGTCGGAGGGGCCAGAGACCCCACGGGTTCAGCTGACCGGCCTCAGGTGGCAAAATTGCACAGGCCCGTGAAGGACCAACCAATCTGTCTCGGTGGCAGCTGAGGGCCTGGCAAGCAGGTGCGGTTGGGGATGCTGATGAGGTGCTGAAGATTATGGCATGAAACGGCAGCTAGGATTACAATCATATCCAAAGCACAGAAATAGATCTTCCTTCTTCAGCTTTTGCCAAATATCTCCTTGTGCTGAGAACCTGGACTGTGTCCCTAATGACAAAAGTATAGCAGACATGCCAACCTAGGCATTACAAAATCTTCAGTCAAAATGATCTGTTCTGCTAGATGCAGTAGTGCTTATGTGGGTGCTAAACCCGAGAAACAGACCTTGTGATCTATTACAAAGACCACCAATGAGCTCCTAAGCACCAAATCCAATGAGTACCTTCCAATGTTTACTTAACTTGACCTTTTTACAATGTTTCACACAGCTGAACATTTTTTTCAATAGGAAACGTTTACCTTCTTTGGATTCCACACGCAGATCTCTTCGATTCTCCTCTACCTTTTTTGTCTCCTCTGGTGGGTACTTTCCCTCTGCTAACTCTCAGCCTGATGCACTTTTTGGTCTACATGTTCTTCCTAGGGAACCTCATCTGCTCCTCCGTGCTAAGGATTCCCACAGCTCCAGACTTGTGAGTAAGACACGATCCTGGCAAAAGGAAAAAGACAAAAGGCATCAAGTATTATGACAGTGTGTATGAAATGCTATGCTAAAATGTGTTATAATAGCATGTGCACACAGAACACACTCAGCCTGAAGAATCTGCTTAAACCAATTCTGAAAGGATAAGAAGGAGTTATTCCGAAAGATGAAAAGAGGGAGAAAATTCCAGGGAAAAAAACCAAACAGAACACAGGCCTAAGACAGCATGGGATCGGAGAATAAGCGATGAATCTGAAAGGAGACGTGAAAAGGCTACAGAGACACGACTAGAAAGGCAAGCAGGGGAGGGTCATAAAAGGCCTGACATGACAGGCCGCAGCGTCTGGACTTCATCCTGAGAGCAGGATCAAGGCAGGGTCAGCTTTCTATTTTATAAATATTCCTTTGTGAAGACGGGCTTGGAGGAGATGCCAGGGGAGGATGGAGACCAATGGGGAGGTTGTTGTCCCACCCAAGCAAGACACTCTAAGACATTAAGAGTTTGGCAGTAATGACCTTCGTTTCTCCCATCTAAAGTAACTTGTACAAGGTAAATCCTGAGCTAATTCCAACATTTTTGTCTTGATACTTATGGAATAATGAACTGCTGTCTTGATTCTCAAACATTTACTTGATTTCTGGGTATCCTAGGCAACTATTTGTTCAGGGTTCTCCAGCAAATCTGGGAAATAAAAAGTATTTTGTAATGGCCCAAATCACCTATTTTTCTATCATTTTTTTTTTGTTGTTCATTAAAAAATGTTTATCAAATAGTTACAGGAGGAAAAGTCCTCTTTCAGTTACTGTGAGTTATAGAAAGATGACTAAGACGCAAGTCCCCAGGAAGTAATATTTCAGTGGGATGCAGTCAGAAAGAGCATAAACTGTGAAATGGGGCAGATGAAAGAGGAAGGAGGGACCAAGAGAGAGGTTCTGGCAGTGTGCCATGCATGGCTGCAGAGGAAGAAGGGGGTAACTATGTTTGGGAGCTTTGATTCAGGCTCGAAATGACTCGGATCTCAACTAGGCAGAAATGAGGGGACAGATATCCCTGACAAAGTCCCAAGGGCCTGGCATCACTGTTGAATGACTAGGTTTGGTCAAAGTGGCAGGTATCTAAAGGAACATAGTAGAAAAAGAAAAATGGCGGACAGTTCAGGAAGACCTTAATATCCAGGTTAAGGCAGTAGCAGCCGAGCTGCTTAAGCAGACATCTTTTGGAGCATCCGTGTGTCTCCATGAGGGCACAGAGCCATTTGCAGTGTACTGACTCAGCAAAATTATTCCCACAACTGTTTGAATTGAAGCAAATTGAATCCATTTTCACATCGACAGCACTGCCTTGTTATTAACCCTAAGAAGACGAGAACTTTCTCACAAGCACTGCTGTCAGAGCAGTTACCTTGGCACATCCTCAAACGTCCCCAGTCCCCTCATGGCGCCTGGATATGAGACAGCTCCATGAGCCTGCAGGGTTGTCCAGATGTGTATTTCTTCTCACTTACAGGAAACTCCATTGCTTTAAGTTTTAGAGGCCAGGGCCGCTATTTTATGAAGCCTATGTGAAGTCAAAATTACCTAATAACACATCGAGATGTAATCTACTTAAACCCATGGGGCCGAAAATGCACTAGTTACGAGACAAGTTAATAGGTTAAACTAACATCCTAAATTGAATTCACTGAGGAGACCTAGAAATAACTTCAAGAGGCTCATTCAGGGAACCCTGAGGAACCTTACCTGAAAGGTATGACTACAGAGAAAAAGAGAGAGAGAGAGAGAGAGAAAGATAACAGAGAATCAGGGACCAAGAACAAAGTCTCTGACGTCAATAAAAGTCAAAACAATATACTCCAAACTGTTCCAGACAGATAAAATAATCTGTCCAAAATTAAATGATATTATGTATGGTCATTGTTGTGAATCTTTATACAACAACTTGGCAAGGCAGAGAGGGAAATATTTTCTCTCTTAATTTGGTGGTATAGTCTATCTACTTCATGAAATGTTAAGGTGAAAAAGTCTCAACTCTTCCATTGTTAATTTATATCTATCCTGGGTTTCTATCTGGTTTGTTGTTGTTGCTGTTTGTGTTTGTCTTCAAAATGTCTTTGTCTGGATACCATAATTATATGTTCTTATCAGAGAAGAGTCCTTACTATGTTCAGCTTACTCCTTACTGTGTTTTAATTCCTTCCTCTTCTTGTGTCTCACCTGCCCTCCTCTTCCCAAGGCCAAAATGGTGGACAGGAGGCAAGAACAAAGGAATCAGAAAGATACTGTGGTAAGCGTGCTGACAGAAATGGCTCCTATCTTCCCTCACTTCAAAACTAAAGACACCTTTACAATCTTGGATTTGGAATTCAGAACCACTTTCTCCATCTTGTTGTCTCCTCTACACTCATGGGAGTATAGAAGGATAAAGGGTGAGCAACCTAGACCACGTTTTACATGGGACCCCGGTTTTTGTTGTTGTTGTTGGTGGTGATGGTGGTGGTGGTGGTGGTTTTTGGAGAGAGAGACAGACAGACAGAGAGACTGTGCCCATAAGCAGGAGAAGGGAAGAGGAAGAGGGAGAGAAAGAATCAAGCAACGTGGGGCTTGATCCCATGACCTGAGCCAAAATCAAGAGTCAGGCGCTCATTCACCTGAGTCACCTAGGCACCACTTGGCAACCTGGTTTTACTTTGGTGTGTAGGAACCCCAGAAGTTAAAGGTTGCTATATAAGTCTTCTGTCACTACTATAACAAATTGCCACAAACTGGGTGGCTTAAAAAATAAAAATCATTTTCTCACAGCTTTGCCAACCAAAAGTTCAAGATCAAAGCCACATTCCCTCAGAAGGCTCTAAGGGTGAATCCTTCCTGGCCTTTGCCAGCTTCTGGTGGCTGCTGGTATTTCTTGAGTTCCTGGGCTTGTGGCTCCATCATTCCAATCTCTTCTATGTCTAATCATTGCCTCAGCTTCTGTCTTTTCTACCTTTCTCAATATCCCTCTGCCTTTCCCTCATAAGAGTATTGTCATTGGATTTAGGTCCTACCCAGAGAATCCAAGATGATCTCTTCATCTCAAGATCCTTAACTTACTTTCTCTGCATTGACCCTTTTTCCAAATAATATCCACAGAGTTCACGAATTAGGACATAAACCTATCTTTTCAGAAGCCACCATTTGTATGGTTTTACAACGTCCACATACTAAGACATAATGTTCTTGCTGGTTACCAGAGCCTTGCCTCAGGGAGTCAAACACTCTCCCAAGCCAGCCAGTGCCACAAATATCATCCCAAGTCTGAGTCAGAACACTTGACTAGTTAAATGTGTTTCCAAGACAAACAAATGGAAGCCTGCTCCTATTTGAGAGTTTAGACAAAGCCTGAGAAACATCAGATGAGCAATTCTTTCAGCAGGACATAGAAACACTTTGAACACTAGGATTTAGGTACTTCATTTACATGCCACTTGTAAACTATTTTAATATGTACAGGCTATTGTTAGTGTGAAGTCTTTGGGAAGAAATATGCTCAAAGTGGTAACATTTTACCTCAAAAATGACATAGAACCCTTTGCCTTCATGTACATTACATTTCAAAAAAAGGTAGATATTATACTGTCTTGTACCAAATGCCCTCAAGATTTTTTTTTGAAACCATAATATAAAACATCTTTTTCTCTGGCTCTAATCCAATTTCTTTGAGTGATGTGTAAACTGTACAATTGTTTGTAGCTCTGTGTCAGTATCCATTACTTTTGAAATGACCCCTACATTTCACATTCTATATAACATTTTCCTGTCTTCTCTGGGAATTGCAGAAGATCCTTCGTAGACACACTAATTGCTTGTGACACCCACAGTCCTTTTGAACACTGACGTTTTCTTGGTGAACCAGTAAATACTCTGTTATTTGGAGAGGACATTGTTGCAAAACACTTTCCCTGATTCTTGCTTTCTACTTAAACATCATAATCACACAAGGCTGAGTTATAGCTTCACTGCTGCCCATGCATATTGTACTCTTGGCATTACAGGAGCTTCAGAAACTGCTCAGTCCGTCAAAGTACCGGTAATGATTTCTTTTGTGGGTATATTAATCTCACAGAAACTAAGCATTACATTTTAGACAATAAAGCTTGCAAAAGACCTGTCAAATCTATATTTTTTAAATGCTTTATATTACGTTCTTCCAAAACACACCCCACTGCATTGACCTTTAAGCACATTAACCTCTGCAGGGAAATTTCTTAAATCCATATCATATGCATAAAACCTCTAATTCAACATTTAGCGAGGAAAATAGATCGTAGTTGGTGCTAAAATGTCAATGAGTCATCCACATCTGACAGTAGATTGCTGAATGACAAACAATAGCTTTAAGCTTGTCTTAAAAGAAAATGTAGCGTGGCTAAAAACACTGTTAGGTCCAAGGCAAATGTTCAAAAAATAGGCACTCTCTAACACACCAAAATCTGATTTACGAAGATTCCTAAATATAAATTGGGGGTTGCAATCTGTCACCGGCACCAACCACCATGACTTACTCAGCATTGTTTCCCCCAACCCAAGTTGCAGTTTCTGGTTTTTCCTCCTTTTTGGCCATCAAATAAATACCCTTATTTGCCCAACCTCCTCTGCTCTCTCTCCCATTTCTTGGCTTTCAACTCTTCACAATTTGGTGGAGTTTAGACAGGTCTTCTTTCTTTTTATTTTATTTTTTTTTCAACGTTTATTTATTTTTGGGACAGAGAGAGACAGAGCATGAACGGGCGAGGGGCAGAGAGAGAGGGAGACACAGAATCGGAAACAGGCTCCAGGCTCTGAGCCATCAGCCCAGAGCCCGACGCGGGGCTCGAACTCACGGACCGCGAGATCGTGACCTGGTTGAAGTCGGACGCTTAACCGACTGCGCCACCCAGGCGCCCCGTCTTCTTTCTTTTTAAATTGAAATATATATTCACATATAACACTGTGTAAGTTTAAGGTGCTCAACATGTTGCTCTGATGCATTT